GAAATTTAAGGAGGTCATGCCTTGATAGAGTAATTTATTTTTTTACTATTTAGATAATGTAGAGTCCAGTTTTTCAGAGAGATGAGCAGAGCAGAGAATTCTACGTGTTTTAAGGCACACAAACTCTACAGGAATTAGAACATCCAACAGTCCAGTTCATATGGCAGTACAGACCAAAATATAAAACACAAACAACTCTCATCTCATTTGCAAAATTTTAAAATGTTGTTTTAAATGTCTTTATACCCACCTAAAAGAGCCAAGTAAGCTGTTCCACAGTTTGGGGCTACCACCACAAAATTCGATTGACTGTAGATTACCAATCAAACTTCTAACTAATATTATCTCCTTATGACAACTCAATGATGAAGAAGATACATGTACAAATAGATACTTTCTTAAACTTAGAATTTACTCCGTGTCTCTTTCCAGTGTGGAATATTCTTTGTAGCAGTATAGTCGCTTCAGTTTATTGGGTTTTTCTCTAACCCTCTTGATGTCTTATTTGCATGAAGTGGTCTGTATCAGTAGAAAGGGCAGTTGCCCTGTGGCATTGGCCCTGCCACTATCATAGCTCAGTTCTTTCCCCGTTTCATTATGTTGATGGGTGCATTCATATGGAAAAACATGAAGATAGGAGGTTTCCACTGGGCTAAAAATCCTGCATGCTCAGGATTCCCAATGAAATTGAAGCCTATTAGGATAAGCACCCCCTATGCACATGTCTATGCTCAGTACTTGGTTTTTAGGGGCAAAGATCTGCATTGCATTTTGGGACAAGAATAGCAATAGTGCCCTTTCTGTGTGTGGGTTCTCCTTCATGTGGGACTTCTCTATTAATTCTTCTCCTTTGTGTAATTGTGCTTCTGTGTGGTCATACTACAGCCTCTTTAGTTGTCATCACTTTTTCCTGAGGTAAGAATTTATTGAACAACATTGAAGTATATCAGTTTATTAATAGTTTGCTGAGCTTCAGCTAGTTTTGCTTGTGTTAACTCTCTTATCATGGATGCTTTGATTAAAGAAATGGTGACATTTCTGGGATTCCTGACATTATGAAGAAATGGAAGACCATGTTTTACTCTAGCCTTCTCCAACCTGGGACTCTCCAGAAGTTTTGGATAGCAATTTCCATCAAACTCCAACTTATGTGAGTGAGATGTAGTCAGTGGCAGTGTTTTCCATGTCAGCATATCAGTGAATCTACTCGAGTTTTAGTCTGAACTTTAAAGAAGTTCTCCAGCAGATTTGCTATTGTGATTATCCTTAGAAATTCCAAGGGATTTCCCTAAAACCCATGGTGAATCTACTCTGAGTCAGTCCCTAAAACATTGCTAATGTATTGTATCACATAGTTGGATTACTCTTGGATTCCCTGTGCAGTCACCACTAAAACTAATGGGAGTTGCTCAGCACCAGATAGGTTGAGCTACAGTTGAAAGAGGATCTTGACACATTCACCATCAATGCTCATTTATTAAGATCCTTTTGCAGTGATGCTTGATATTCGTAAGGACACATGGAACTATGCTTTATAGCCTTCCATTTGTGGAAGATGCTTCATTTTGAAAAAGAACTCTCTCAGCCTCAGAGGAAAGTCATGGCAAATCTCTGCAGAATAAAACAACTAATGTCAATAACTAATGATAGATTTGCCTTGTGTTCATGATAATTCAAAATTGCTTGAATGCACACAGCAACAACAAGTAGTCGGGGCTGGTGGTTTCAATTTTGGTAGGGTAGTAAATCATCTCTGAATTTTAGACTGAAATGTAAAAAAGATGTCCAGAGTGCTGAGCTCCAGCCCCAAAACAGATTCTGCACCTTGGAGAGCTCATTTAACTGGATCACAAGCTCTGATGTCAGGGCCACCATTACTTCTGATAGCATATCGATGAACTGAAGGAGAAGTTTTTATTATGGAAGAACTGTCTCAGAATAATGAGGCCCTTCCCCAACTTTACTGTGTTGATGAGTGACTGGCATTGGAGGGTGATGGGGAGGCTCTGAATGTTCTCCAGGAAAGGAGTGCCCTGCTGTTGCTCTGGCGTTCTTACTCCCAATCATGCATGCAGAGCAGAATTGCTGAGTGCCCTTTAATTATCCATTCTTGATAGAATGTAGCATTCTGTTTTGACAGTATTTCTTCTTCTTGAATTGCTAGTCCGTTTATGAATTTTATCAGCTAGCTGCTGCATGTCCTACCATACGGGAAGAGAAATTGAAATAGATCTTTCCATGTAAATAGTTTCTAAATACTTGAAATTAATGACATTCAGTTCTTCACTGGAATTATGAAATCACTGCCTAATTTCTCATTGCCTGTTTAGTGGTTCTGAGTAGGAGAACGGGTTATTAGCATATCAGCTCTCCTCCGTCATTAGCACATATCCCCCTTTCAAGAAATGAGAATATATTTCTTCTCAGAAATTCAGATACTTCAGAGTCAAGGCATTCAGGCGGGGGGAGTATTATAAACTCCCAATGTGACCTTCCAGTAGCAGGACAACTCTGGAAATGCAACTTTTGGGTCCCTGCTTCAATGACTGGGTTGTTTAAACTGTCAAGTACAACATTTTACTGAGGTGTTTCACAGCTTGCTTTGTGGTGAACCCTTTTAAAAGATCTTTTTGTTAAAAATTTAAAATATTGTAAAAGTTGGCATAATAAAGAAAGAGAAAGAAATATCAGAAAGAAAGAAAGAAAAATGCAGTTAAAGACAAAATAAAGAAAAATTACAATGACCCCTGGTTTTCTTTAACAGTGTTTATAAATCTTTATATATAAGTCCAACTTTTTCAGCTAAAGCAAGTATTTAATCACTTCAATCAATTATTCAAACCTACTAATTATCAAAATGTATAGTTATCATATGCTTCTACAGTCAATGGTTCCCAGCCTGTTTAAAATGTTGCCAATTATTTTTCTCTAATGAAAGCAGATAATATATAATTTTCAGCTAAATTATTCAATTTTAGCAAACTCTTTTGCTATTATTCATTTACTATTCAATGTTTGTGCATACAATAATCCCATTGCCATAGTCATATATCATAATAATCTTCCATATTTCCTTTCTATTTGCAATTCTGAATGAATGCAGAAGCCTCCTTGTTGAGGGCAGAACTGCATGGTCCAGCTTCATCAAGTGTCTAGAAACCCTGGCTGCTTCTTCTCCACAAGTATGACCAAGATAAGAGCCTCAATTCAATGCTACAATGCATGCTTCAGAAACAAAAGATCACAGGTTCAGACTTTAATATTTCCAAGCAGGAAATGACTATTGTCTGAAAACCTGGAAATTTGATAGCAGTTGGTATAATCTCTAGATAAGGGAGTGAGTGAATTGTCCTATAACTGGTTAGGAAGTGTTGCATTTTTCACCTAAGGAAAACCTGGGCAATCCAATTTGGCAAGATGATAGAGATTTACTAAAGAGATTGAAACCCACTGTGTGCTGAATTGCCAGCCCTGATTGCTTTCGTGTCATTGGGGCACATTAAAAGAACTATCCAAGGTACTGAACCATGCCCACAAATAGGCTCAGCATCTTGGATATCTACTTAAAGTTTAGGTAGCAACTAAGACGATGCCTTTAAATTTGACCCCCCAAATTGGATGAAACCGAAAACCACCGGTTACCAGCTAGTAAATGGTTGTCTGTATGAGCCCATTGTCAAACAGAAAAAGAAAATTCTAAAGTCTAGTCTACATCTAAGTACATCAGTATTCTGGATGCCTGAGGAACATTTGTTTCATAAATTCTTATACAAAATGTTCTAATCAGCACACCTAATGTGTGGATCAGAATATGGCTATCCACAGCATTTTGCTGTTCTCTGAATGCTGGCACAGTTGTTGGCAATTTAAATATTATCAGAGAATGCATTTAAATATGTATTTTGGGAGAAAGTATGCTTTTGAATACATATTAAAATGCCTATTGAAACATGAATTTTGAAGAACTTCAAAAGAATTAATGTGGAAACAGAATGGGGCAGAATTATGAGTAAAACATGCGAAGGGGGCATAGACTAAGAACAGACAGATGCATCCATCCATAGGAAATATGCCCTAGAAAAAAAGAGAATTATTAATATCATTGTCATTATTGTAGTTCGGTCTTGGAGAAGCATTCTTGTTGTTGTTTTTAACTAGTCCTGCTGCTGAAAAATTTATCAGGACATGCCAGATCGCTGTTCACAGAAATTCACTCTCCTTACCAGCTCTAGCTAAAATGCTTGTTCTGTGTCACAAATCAGGCTGCTAGCTGACCAAGGAAAATGCCCTTGCTGTTTTGCCCTTTTATCTCTGCATTAGCTGCCAGGAAAAAAAATCAGAAAAAAAATCAGAATGTGTTGCTCATTTCCGGACTTTTTTGGGGAAATGAAAAATTTGCACTGTTGCTCTTTAGGTATATTTTTGAGGTTGCATCAATTGCTTGCTTGAACTGTGCAGAGTGACCACAAATGCATGTGAAAATTCTGGTTATTGTATTTGGCTTCAGTGTGCTGTTTATGGGGATCTCCATGGCTGCGTTCACTTTAAAAGCTCTGTTGAGCCATGAGAGAGGCAAAGTGGCAGAGGCCAGAAGAAAGTGGAATCATGAGGCAGCTGATTCTGCCATATCCTCTTCCTGTACATGGCTCATTTACTCCACAGTACACTTTGGCTTGGCAGTACCACAAAAAGTTTCCCTATAAGTTTCATTTCTGAATACTCTATACTAGTTGCCATTATTATATTGGAGAAGGAACACTCTCGTATGATCAAGGAACATGTTTTAATCATTTTAATCATTTGAAAGTCTATTTAATTGATATGTATATTTTTACAGTTTTATAATGTTGTGTTTTATTGTTATGTTTTTGGCTGAATCTGGCACTGAATTATTTTGTAAGCAGCCCTGCATCCCCCTCTGGGGTGAGAAGGATAGGGTATAAGTACAGTAAATAAATCAATAAATACTATACTGACCACATTTTCCCTTTATTCTGCAGGAAGAACATATTGAATACTATGATTCCAAGGCTGATACAGAATATGTAAGTATTTCCAATTGTCCATCACTTCTGTTTCATACATGTGAATCCCTGCCATTTAGAGTGGTACTACCACCTTTATTGCAGCTGTGCAAAACTCATTGGCTCCGAAGTGCACAATTTACCCTTAATATTTGACAAAACTTACACTAGAATTGTAACAAGTACAGGTAATCATAGAATCACAGAGTTGGAAGAGAACTCGTGGGCCATGCAGTCCAACCTCCTGCCAAGAAGTAGGAAAATCGCATTCAAAGCACCCCCAACAGATGGCCATCCAGCCTCCAAAGAAGGAGCCTCCACCACAGAAAGTTAATTTGAGGAGAGATCTGCACTTTTTACAAATCATTTTCATCAAGAAGGCATTTCACATAATAAGAGGTGTGAATTAAAATAGCAATTCTGTCTTGCTGGTGGAAAATGTTCCTGTCAAAAGAGGAAAACATTGGTGTATGTTTGCTACATTTCTTGCAACATTTGGCAGCTTTATTTGGCTATTCTAAACTTTTCTTGTTTTGTTAACTTTGTTCACCTGAGACCCACGAAAATCTGCCCGTGAAATCTTGTGAGAAATAAAGAAGCATGTAAGAAATGTAGTTTTTATAATGAATAACAGTGAAACAAGTTAGATATAAGCATGAAATACATGACAATCATATCATTGGAGAAATAACAGTGCATGGGGGGAAAATAAAATTTCTTTTCAATTCTAAAGCAGAAGCATAGATTCCAGACCATTCCACTCTTTTTATGTAATTTTATGCAAATAGTACATATAATGACAACAATTACTTATAGCAAAAGACTAAATTTACAGTGAAGGTTGTGGCTGTGAGGTTGTTTACACATACCTGGAAGTAGGTCAAACTGAACTGAGTTGGGCTTTCTTGCAAGTAGTAGCATTGTAGCACAAAGCTTTGAAATTGGAAATGGAATGCTAAATCACATTAATCAGGCTTTCATCCAGATACGTCAATGTTTCAGTGTAGCCAACCTGCCCCTGCTCCTGCAATTTGATATGAATTTAGAAATTAGCAAAGACTTGCCTTGTAATTAACTGCAGGATGAATATACCAGATTTCAATTATCATGAGTGCTGAAGAATCTACAAGTTTATATTTGGTATCCTGAAAAGTTACCTATATTAGCACATCTTCATAATTAATTGCATGAGTGTCTCATAGTCCCAGTTTTTTTCTGATTATCCCAGCAGGAATGTATTTCCAGAAGAGAAAGATCTGTGCCAAGTAAAGCACAGTTGTCTTGAAAGATCTTCTCAGGGTGGGTCATGTGTTAACTGTTTAAAAACTGAAACCAAAAAAATCTGTTGCCGGGTTGTTGTAGGTTTTTTGGGCTATATGTCCATGTTCTAGAGCAGTGTTTCTCAATCTGGGGGTCAGGACCCCTGGAGGGGTCACCAGGGGCTGTCAGATGGGTCACCAAAAAGCATCAGAAAACAGTATTTTCTGTTGGTCATGGGAGTTCTGTGTAGGAAGTTTGGCCCAATTCTGTCATTGGTGAGGTTTAGAATGCTCTGATTGTAGGTGAACTATAAATCCCAGCAAATACAACTCCTGAATGTTAAGGTCTATTTTCCCCAAACACCACCAGTGTTCACATTTGGGCATATTGAGTATTCATGCCAAGTTTGGTCCCTCATTGTTTGAGTCCACAGTGCTCTCTGCATGTAAGTGAACTACAATTCCAAAACTCAAGTTCAATGCCTATCAAACCCTTCCAGTATTTTCTGTTGGTCATGGGAGTTCTGTGTGCCAAGTTTAGTTCAATTCCATCATTGGTACTCTTTAATTGTGGGTTATTATAAATCCCACAATTACTATAAAACTACAATTCCTAAATGACAAAATCAATCCAACCCCTCCTGTCTTCAAATTTGGGCGTATCGGGTATTTGTGCCAAATTTGATCCAGTGAATGAAAATACATCCTGCATATCAGATATTTACATAATGATTCATAACAGTAGCAAAATTACAGTTATGAAGTAGCAGCAAAAATAATTTTATTGTTGGGGGTCACCACAACATGAGGAACTTTATTAAGGGGTCGTAGCATTAGGAAGGTTGTGAACCACTGTTCTAGAGGCATTCTCTCCTGACGTTTTGCCTGCATCTGTGGCAAGCATCCTCAGAGGTTGTGAGGTCTGAGGATGCTTGCCATAGATGCAAGTGAAACGTCAGGAGAGAATGGCACTGGAACATGGCCACATAGCCCAAAAAACCTACAACAACTCAGTGATTCCAGCCATGAAAGCCTTCAACAATACAAATCTGTTGCCGGCACAGGTTTGCACAGATATTCTGTTCACCATTAATGTTCACACTTTGTGAGGCCTCTCTTTATTGGTACTGCAACTCAAGAAAGCCAGAAGTTGGTGGGATTTGCTCCTTAGACCTAGACAAGAAGAGACAGTGCTGGCCCCACTGTGTGCTTTCTATGTGACAGCCTGTCAGACAAAGCCTAAAGGAGCCAGGTGCACTTTTGCTAGAGAAAGTCACTTTGCTTCCTCAGAAAGTTTCTAAAATTAAAGCTGGCATCTGAAATTCAAATGAAGAGCAAACATCTAATTAGAGACAGAATCTAATTCTCAACCCTCCTCCCGGCACAGTCATCCTGTAATTCTGGCAATCAGCATGTTAAGTATAAACCAGAGAGCTTCGATTCCCCCAAGGAAATAGGTCTTTGCTAGTTACTGCATGTAATGTGAATAGTTGGAGGGAGCTTGTTCAAAACATCTCCCAAGCATCAACCCCTGGCTGAAGTCAATCTAAAACTGGCTGCATTTTTGTTGATCACACAAACTTTGTGGAATGCGGACTGATCTTTCTGAGAAAGAGGTGAAGCAGAAACAAGCTGGATCCCTTGACTCTCACATGATTAATAACAGCAAAACCAAAATAAGGTACATTTGACCATGCTATTGGCCTGGAAGCTTTATGGTTATTATTAATTAAAGCTTAGAAGTCTGGGAATCCTGCATGGATGATGGCCTTTTAAGCACATTTCTTGCTTTGGAAACTGAAATAGATGTTTTCAAAGCTTTCTCTTTATCCCCAGTGCCCTAAACAATAGCCAGTGGCCAACTTTAGTCTGAAAAAGAAAAAACAGGTAGTCAAGAGAAGTTAAGGTAAAATAGCACCTTGTCATAAACAGATACCTGAAGCCAAACATAGAGGAAAAACTCTACTCCAGCAGTGTTGTTTGGTAGCTGGAACCTGTTTGGAATTTGAATGTCTAATTGGTTTTCTCAGGAGAGAAATGCTAGAATTGGTTGAGGTATAAGTCTGCTTCTGGAAAATGACTACCAATGAGCCACCCAGCTAACTAGGCAAGCCAACAGCAAATCTTTCACAAAGTTATAGCACAGAGAATGTAATTACTAATGCTTTTATATATCTGAGAATAATGGTTTTTCTTTCTGCCCTCTTTGTCTCTTTCTCTCACACACAAATTCTTTCTCTTTCTCTCACACACATGAAAAAATAATTTCCAACTATTCTTTGAAAAGTTTAAGACAGAGGCGGAGGTGACTGTGCGGGACTTCATATGAAGACATGGGGGGGAATTTGTGAGAAGTTTTTAGGTTGTCTTCTGCTTTGGTTGCTATGCCTCAAGACACACAGATTGACCTGCAAATTCTCTTACTTGCATTTTCTCCAATTCCCCCATTCATCTTATGCAAGCTCATCTGCACAAAGCCATCTAAGGCAAACACTCTGTTTCCATTAAGAATAACCTCATCACATCTCCTTCGTCCTCATCTACTTTCTTCATTATGAATTTTTCCCATTTGTTTTCAGTCTTGCAGGCAATGTCTTTGGCCTTGAACCTAAAAGTCATGGTATACCATGCAAGCATTCCCTCCTCCCTACACCTTCTTTTTTGCACAGTCAGATGTATGCATAATCTGAGAGTAAGAGGGTCAATCTCTGCCCCTGGCAGGTCTGTTCTCTTGCTGTTTAAAATTGATCATGCTATAAAGGGCAAATATGTAAGAAATCCTAAAGAAAGAACGCTTGCAATTGGTTGGTTTAATAACAAATCAACCAATACCACAATTACTGACATTGTTTCACTGTTTCTATAGAATTGGCTGGTATTTCTGTTTACATAGGATCTGTTCCTACTTGAGTTTTAGGATTAGAATTTTGAAACATTTCAGCCATTGGTTTCAGGAGAGGGAATTTTGAAATGTTGTAGGAGGAAATTACACAACAATCCTTTTTCAAAAGAGTTTCTCCCATCTTCTCCCATCCCCTCCCCAAAAGATCCATACTGAGAAGGTTTAAAAGGAGCATCAGAAATTAGTGGTTTGAAGCACTCACTTGAATCATGTTTCCCAATGGTTGTGCCCTGCCCAATATAAATCATAATTCTTTAGCACAACACAATCAAAAGCTTTGATTGACTCACCAGAGCCTGCTTTTGAAAGTGCCACAGGATTATGTTCCCTGATATCTGTCTTGCCGATGACAGTTTTTCATTCTTACATTGCATGAAGAAGGTGTCATGTGAACATTATGCTCATCGAGGATGTTATGTTTCAGTTATATCATGGGTAAACTATATAGAGTAGTCTTGCATTGTAGTAGGAAGAAGCTATATCAGGTTTAGACAGAACTGAAGTCCTCAAATACATGGGGAAAAACCAGTTCATTGCCAACAAGGAGTATAGAGTTCAGCATGAGAATGAGACCTTACGGGCAACCTTCCTCAGGGAGCTATCACTGGCAAATCCATGGTGTCTTCTAACTCCACTTCATTAGTTTTGTTTTCTGTAGAGTGCAGTAGCTCTTGCGAATGGAAAAGGATGAACTGTAAGTGTTTAAAAATTAATCAGCTTTCTGACAATCTTTGGACTCTGTAATATAAAGAACTGAGAACCCAGAGCAAATGTGTTCCCAGAGCTAGCAATAGACCAAAGCAGACCATTTTCTACTTGGTGCTGGTGGCACCTGAAATTATTACATATTTTCAGGACTT